ATATAGGTATGTTGTATGACAGCTGACTCAATACTTGTAATTATGTGGTTTTGTCGAAATTCCTCTATTCAGAGAAGCACAAACACAACTAAACTCATTTTACTTACCATTTTAAGAGGAAATAGGTAGATCTCTACCATGAAAATAGTAAAAATGAACTCATGGGAAGTAATAAATGATTTAAAGAATGTAAGAGGTCTCATTTGATAAGACTATGGTGCTGCTCATTAGCAGGAATAATGTTTACCATGTTCTATGGCTGCACAATGTGCATGAGTCAACCTTGTAGCTGGGAAGTTTTTATTTTCAACAAATGTGAATCATAATTTAAAACATGTCTGGAGTGGTGCTTTAACATAATACAAAACAAAATAAGCTGTCTTTGTAAGTAAGTGGCAATGAGAGAGAGACATGTAGATGGTTTTCTGCTGTTACAGTAAATACAGTCACAGAGCATCTAAGCTATTCAATATTCTTATAAAACAACTCCAAACAATATCAGAAAATGTGGCAGCTCAAGAACAGATGCTCTGTGTCTGGTCATACACCCTAGATGTCATTACATCACAGGACATTATATTAATATGGATAATAGTAAGTAATAGCTGCAAGACCCGCAAAAAAAGAGACACATATGTTTGATAAAAATAACATCCCAGATAATGTCGGGATCAGGGTGGCAATTAAATGAGAGATGCTGGCCGCGACAATGACCCTCAAAGCGAGTGTATATTAGGGCTTGTGTCTAATGAGTATCAGGCCTTAAAGGACCAGTGAGCGCTGCTAGCTGCTAACATGAATAATAACATAATACATGTATGATGATAATCACTACACTTAAAACAATTCTGGGGGACTTTTTATGACTCTATTACATAAGTGCAGCAGAGAGGACAGGAAATGAGAGAAGACAGAGACAGGGACTGAAATGCCAGAAAGGTCGAACATGAACCAGGCTGCTGTTCATTCATGGTTGATGCCTTAACTCCTCGGTCACTGGAGCGCAGAAAGGACAACTCAGTGAAAGCTAAAGATTATGGAGCTGTTGAACTGTGGTTTAGGAGCACATTAACCCAGAGGACACTGAGTCCACAATGTTTGGGGGGGATTAGCTTTACTGGCACAGGTATGATATTGACTTTCACCCAGGTGATTAAAGGTGATTTCAGTACTGTGCACAGCAGTGTTATCTGTGATCGGTACAGGCCACATGCCCCTATGAGAGCACAGGACAAGTCAATTTGTCAATTTTAGTGTCTGATAAACAGATCACAATCATTTTCAGTGTTTTCTTTTTAAATTCTCCCTCATTCCAGCTTTGTGTCTCATTGACAATCAGATTTCACAAAGGCAATTAGTTGCTCTCTACTGTGTGTGTGTGTCTAAGAAGCAGCAGGTGAAAGTGGTGAGCTAGATATATTTCCAAGAATGAGCTCCCATCTCAGAGCTTTGGGTGAATGGTTTGGTTAGACTGAGCTGCTGCAAGTATTGGATTGGAAATTACTGTTATTTGCTATATAAACAGTTACCACAGGTGGTTTCAGCCAAGCAGACAATTTGGTCTTGTCCCAGCTGCTCCAACAAGTTCCAACTGTGTGAAAAAAATCTCTCGAGATTCTGCTGACCATGCTGCTGCCGTTTGTTCTCTCATGGTTTTTTTACTGGTATTATCGAAATGTTGGGAAAGCAACAGCAGCTCCTAAACTCTTAAAATCAGAGTAAAAAATATCCTTAAGGATGAAGATTTTATATATACCTCTGGCAGTCATGCACAGGTTAATCTGCCAGGGGGCCTGGGGCAGACATTTGTTGTTGGGCCAACCTCCCACCTACTGGTCTCTAAATTCAATGCAAACAATTTACAATATAGATTAAAATGATTTTGCTCTTAAAGCTAGATTTAGACCTAGCTTGGCATCGCCAGACTAATTTGCAAATGTAAGACACAGAGCAAATGAAAGAGCAGATTTGTCTGGTTCCCCGGTTAATAAAAACCCTTAAAAACTGCAATTATTAAACCAGACAAGAGTCAGATGACATGCAGTGAACCTGCTGTTGGGGCCCATTGGGTTCTGGGGTCCTGTGGAGGTTAGAGTTATTACGAAGTGTTTAGCTAACGTGACATCACCCATTGGTTGTGGAGTACAGTTTTGAAGACTTGAGTTTGGCATCATGGCCGTTGCAATGGCAGTTTTACAGAGCGAGCGGCAGTGTAGTACTGCGAGTTGCGCTGCGCTTAATTTCAACTCGTCTGCAGCAGAAAACAATGGCAGCTCACCTCGTCGCATTCAAGATAAACAGCACACTAAAAAATGTTTCTGAGAAGATTTAAGAGAGGAATAGGCAGCGCAGTATTACACATATTTGACCAGCACTGCCTAGTTTGACTGTTTAATCTGAGTGTTGTGCAGCACGTTGGACGGACTCACTTAGAATGACCTGTCAATCACAAGGTAGCCTCGCCATAAAGCATACCCTGCTTTATCGTCTGTGTTACTCTAAATGGGACCATAATTTACTAAATGAACAGCATGCTGTATGGAAGTAGACTGAAACCAGCAATTGAGACTATAAAGTTATTAGGAAACTGTTTACAGAGATAATAAATGAAGTGCACAGTAGTAGTAGTCTTCATAAGACTCCATACTGCCTCCTGATGGCCTCTACATAGAATACATGGTTAAGACACTTCGCATTGGCTTCACTTCACAGACCAGGAAGCTCTGTCCACTATATATACTGTCTGTGGTTATTACCTCTAATAGCTGCCATTTGTCACATGTATTTTGTTATGTGAGCTAGCTACAGCCATCAGTTGTCACTGTGTGGCTTAATGTGAAAAAAGTTGCAGAAATGTGTAAACCTACTTAAAATGTCCAGCTGCATTATAGTGTGTTATAAACCATCTATTAAATGTTTGTACATTATTTTATTGTAAATTATTTTATTGTTATCTAGAAGTTGGTGTTATTTCTACACGTTGAGCAACCCTATGACCTACTTAACACTAGCTTACACATACAACAGTTAAAACCTGAAAACACACAACATTATTTTTCCAGAGATACTCTTACATACATACTTGTAACCTTTACTTCAATTTGTATTGGAAATACAATCCAGTACTACAGTTTTCAGAAAAGGATTAGTATGAAATCAGGAGTAAATGTAATGTAGGAATAATACCAGTGGAGAGCAAAATTAATTACATCATCTCATGCATCCAATTTGGGGAAATACTTGATCCTGCTCACAATCTCATCATAGAAAACCTGACATAACCACACAGGTGTGCACAGGCTCTCTCTCACACACACACACACACATGTGTGCACACAAATACACAACAAACATCAAAAACACATCAATCTTAGTCTAATTTTACTATATTTTAGGATGAGATGGTCTAATTCTTTAAGGAAATAGGATCAAAACTGTGCTTTTTTTAATAAGCCAAAGCTAAATACAGACAATAGTGTCTGTAAGTGGTTGAATGTAATGTAATGTAATGTAAGTACATTTACCTTAGTACTGTACTTAAGTACAATTTTGAGTTACTTGTACTAAGTATATCCAATTCATGCCACTTTATTACTCCTACACCGCATTTTAGAGGGAAATATTATCCTTTTTCCTTCACTACATCTATGGAACAGCTGTAGTTATTTTGATTTTACATACAAAACACGATCAGCTTATAGAATATGATGCGTCGTTACAGATTAAAGGCCCCACGGACCCTCACAGGTGTTTTCAGTTATGCTGATTAGACTCAGGTGTGAGTGCAAAGCTCTGCTGGGATTTCCAGGAGGTCATCATGTACTTATAAGAATGACAAAGCAGTAAAATCTAACAGGAGAGCCCCTGAAGTCCCAAAATAATTATTTTCTATCTTGTTGCACACAATGATAACTTGTGTGTAGAATAAAAACAGATCATCTTGACAGCTACATATTTTCACCCACTGAAAGGGGCCATGTGAGTACTTTCACTTCTGATACTTTACTGGTAATAATACATTTTTTACAAGTACAATTTAAAATGCAGGACTTTTTTTATACTGTGGCAATATTAGTTTTACTTAAATGAAGGATCTAAGTACTTCTTCCTCCACTGGAGTCTACTCAGGCAAATATGTCTCAGAAGACACATTGTTTTTTTCCATGTCTCATCCCACTGACATCATAAACTCTACAGGTTGCGTATGTGAAATGAACACTGGCATCCAATTAAGACTGAATTTTTATAGAGCATTTGTTATTCAATGAGCTTTCAAGTGACATTTCGGAGGATAAAATCAGTTGTAGTTTGGTGTGACAGCATGCACAGACGCTGTAAACTGGATGTGTTTAATCTGGTTAAATGCCAACATTATTGGCTAAGTGGACATCTACGATTCAACATCGGCTCCCAGTCATATCTGTACTGTCAGTGTTAGCAGGGCTGCACCTAGCAAATATGTTCACTTTCATTTAATATGTATACTGTATTTTCAAATAATAGATTTATATTTTTTATAAAATGACAAAACAGTGAAAAATGGCCATCTTCTTAAGATTGTTTGTTGTGTCAGTCCAAATACATACATCTTCACAAGAGAATTTGTGGTATTTGCTTGATAAATAACTTTTAACCGCTGAAAATTCATTCAAGTATAATTTTTTACACATATCGTGCACAATATACAGACAATAACAATATGTCTGAGCTAAGTCAAACCACTGGATCACATCAGATCTAGCATTTAACAATTTATAATATAAATAATAAAACTATACATGGTTTTAGCAGGACACGCACGTGTTGAAGATGATTTTCTGAATGAGACTGTTCTCTGATCCCTGACAGATTAACATAACACACTGCCGGACGTGTGGAAATGTCAGTTTTCCAGTAGACAGGTGACACATTCTATGTCCCCTGTGTCCTATATTTTATGTATGACTCAGTCAATCATTTTTGTGGTTGTATGTCTGTGTCTGTGTGTCATTCCCACTCACCCCCATCGTCCTCATCAAAGGAGTTCATGCAGGGGAAGTAGATGGCAAGGGCCTCGAAGGACGCCGACAGGCTGATGCGGCTCTGCGATCTTTCCATGTAGAGGCCCGCCGTCGGGCCCGGGTCGGCCGGCTTGGCCAAGCGCGGCTGGGCATTCTTCACGCGGAGTACGGCTCGCGGCGTCTTGGATGGCTGTCAGCTGCCCCCCACGGCAGATCCACCTCACCCCGAAAAGAAGAGTCAAGCAAGAACCCCAAGGTGCTCACACCGAATATAATCGGTGCAAAAACGTACTTGCAGCAAGTGGCAGCAGAAGTTGACGTCAAAGGAAGATTTTGATGTTGCTGCTCTCTCTCTCTGAATGTTAGACAAAATGCAAGCTCCAGCGGTGCAAAATCATCCTTGTGAACTCAGATATCTCTGTTGGTTGCTCACTTTTGATGAGGTTAAGTGTTCTGATAAATGATATCTTGGCTGATGCTTTTTTTCTTAACTGATCATCTATCTGTGGTTGTGCGTAGTGGAGTTGAAGCTCTCCCCTACTGTCATTTCTGCTCTAGATTTTGGATTCGTGCTTTGCTTCTGTTTTCAGGCAGATGCTGGTGTACACACTCCTGTTCATCCCTTTTTGTCCTCAGAAGTCCAGGTGATAGTCTGATGGACTTATTGTTGTCTGGTTTTGAGTCTTACCTGCTTGTTCTCGCTGATAAAACCTGACCTTACTCTGTTTCACAGCAAAACTCCCTGAACTCTGCATGTCAATCTAACATTCTCCTCCTGCTTGTGCATTCATAGCTCGGATGCTTGGTCTTCTTCTGATCCGGGAGGAGACGCTGGTGGTAGAGGTGATGTTGACGCCCAGCTTAAAACGTGTTGCTTTCCGACCGAATTAAAGCTTTTTGTTTTCGTTGCATGGCACTGTCATTTCCTCGTGCTTTGACAGAGCAAAAAACATTTCTTTCACACAGATAAACTGACTTTCAAAACCCAGGAGACGTCAGCTGCAGGAGCTGTTGCAAATCTGCTTCGTTTCCAAGCCCAGATCAGTCGGGAGAGCATCAGTTGCAGCAACAATTGCAACTGGGGGCAATCTGTTGCTTCCGCTTTGATTTTAACTGTACTGCAGTCACTGTTCTGCTGTAAATGTTCTTAATGTTGTGTGGCTGTGAGCGAGATTTGCTTCTTCTCTCTCCGTCAGTCCTGTGTCGCTCCGTTGCCGTGCCGATGCTCCACTGACTGTCTGCTCCTGAGACGGGAAAGGACAGAGAGAGAGAGAGAGATAATGAGAGAGAAAGAGAGAGAGAGAGAGCAAGAGAGGGGCTGTGCTGTTTAACAGCTTGTGTCTGACTGGACTCATTCACTGACTAGCTGCATGGAGAGCGAGAGAGGGTGGGGGGGTTGTGGGAGGAGGGGGGAACAGAGGGGATGGAGAGCAGACTGTTGCTGGCAGCTCGACCAATCAAAACATGGATGTGAGAATATGGGTGTGGCTTTGGGAACAGTGGAGGCAATGCAGGGCAGAATAAGTTTACAATGTCTCTCTCTCTCTCTCTCTCTCTCTCTCTCTTCATCTCCTTGAGTATTTCGATATTGGTGGACATCAATGTCCTCCAAGCAAAAATCATCAGAAATACATTAATCAAAGAGAGAGACAGGTGTTCAAATGTTGAACGATGCCTTTTACTATATTACTTTGATGCAGAATATTTAACCACAGATATGACTACAGTTTCATTTTATCAATGTGAAACTAAAGAACAGTAAAAAAAAATGTATATAAAAAAGAACCTAACCTTGTCCTAAAACCAGCCTGGAGGACACAACTTCAAATGTGAATTATTGGTATTATTGACAGGTGCCTTAAGCAACTCTAATCAATTTTTATGACACAGCGTGAGTGGTTTTCCATTCAACAAGACAACGTGTTATAAAGCCACTGTGTAACCTAATGACATGTCACACCTGTCAATGGTGTGTTATTTCATCACCAATAATTAACCTGCAAGCAGTATTTTAATGTTGTAGCCAGCCACCCCGCTGTTTGCCCTAGGTTGAGAGAGCCGGCATGTTTGAACCTCAGTCCGACCCAGACTCAGTTGAGGAGTCTGTTATGCAACAAAACTGGAGACGAGCAGATGTATAGGAATGGTAAGTGTAATGCATCTGTTATTTGTTTATGTCGTTTGTTTGCTTATTAGCTTGTAACTGGCAGTGGCTGACACAGTTAGTGGTTGTGAAACGTGTAATATCTGCTACGATGTTACATTGTGTTCACATTGTTACTACATAGAAGATAGTGGAAAGAAGCTCCAGGGTCTGAGTTGCATCCAAAAACTGCATGCTTTGCTGGGAAAGCAATTGGCTTTCAAATATTATATCTAGTTTGCCTGGGGTATGTTTGAATCTCAGATTTTAGGGAAGTGTAGAGACATCTGCGCCTTCAGGAGAGGCAAAAACACTTTCTAGTGACAAACCTTGCAGTGAAGTCAAGGACTGCCATTTTAGGGAACATGGAAGGGATCTTTACATAATCTACATACATTTAGATAGTTACATTTCTAACAATATAAAGCTTTTTATATTGTGGTCATAGGTTTCAGATGTAGAATTATCATTTGCAAAGTAATAACTATAGCTGTCAAATACATGTAAAGGAGTAAAAAGTGCAATATTTCCTTTTGAGATACAATGAAATTGAAGTATAAAACATAAGTACTACAAGTTTTACTTCGAAGTTAGGCTCTATTTATTATTTTTATTTTTTTTTACATATTTTGGGGTCTAATTAACTAGTATATACAACAAGGTTTGAAATTGGTTCAGTAGATCAAGTCAGCCGGGAGCTACGAAATGTTTTGCACTGGCTGCTTTAATTGTTTGTTTTTGGCACTGACAGGCTCAGATTGTTATTTTAAGTGTCTGCCAACATTATGGAAAGGCTCCCTATAGAGATAAACTTTTTTTGGTTAAGAATTAAGATCCTTGTTATTTAACCAGACACTACGTTGCTTTGTTAAAAACCACCACACTCAATTGACAAAAAAGTAATTTTACCTTGCAGAATGAGGGAGTTGCCTCGATCAGTTTGTTTTTTGGTTACTAAGAACTTTGGAGTCTTGAACACGTTCACACATCTGAATTAGCCATTGTCCTCAATAGCTCATGGTGGTTTCTTTTTTTTACCTTCCTCCCTGTGACATTTAAAATGTAAAAAATAAGCCTGAAAATGTTCATATCTTGTTGTGTACACTTAGCAGACATCAGTGCCTGCCACTAACCTCAGGGAAATACATTGCATCTCATATTGCTGCTTCACAATAACAACCTCCATGTGATTCACCAGCAGAGCTTTTATTGTGAAAGAAGAGCAACAAAAACTAACCCACTGCACTCAATTTGAAAAGATTGACAAATTTATTGCTATCGACCAGTTGATGACTCGCCCTTAGAATAATTTCTCCATCTGACTTTGTCCATTTCTGTGAACTGTCTTTTGTTCCTCCCTCTTTCTTACCTCTTCTGTTCTTCCTCTCCGTGCCTGTCTTCGTCTCCATATCGTGCAATCTTTCCCTCTGATCTTTGTCTTGTTTCTGTGAAGTGGAGAGGGAAAGATAGAGAAAAAGGGACGCGTAATCAACGGTGCTATACTTAGGCACAGTAAAGCTTTGAGCTAAATGCTAACGCCAGCGTGCTAACATGCTCACGACACTTTGTACTTAGTTTTGTATTTAGGTATTTAGTCCCGAACAAGTAACATTTTAAACTGATCATGGCGCTACATGAAAATTAAGTTATGGGACAATTCATCAACTGAACGGGTATTACATGCGGGTACCAAATTCCATGGCAATTCATCAATTTTTTGTCTTATGGTGGCGCTAGAGGAAAGGTCAGAGGATCACCACAGTCAGTATGGTTCATCCTCTGGAGACCAAGACTGTCTATATAAATTTTAAGGCAATGCATCCAATGAGAGTTTTGGTCATATTTTGGTCACAGAGGTTGACCAACCGACACTGCCATCCATAGAGTGGCTAAAGATGGTCTATGAAGTGTATCAGAATTTACTTGATGCACTGAAACCAGACCAGCTCTTTCATGATGATGATGTGTGTGTATAATTTAGGAGGATCCGTTGGCAGAAATGGACTATAATATTCACAGGTATGTTTTCATTAGTGTATAATCACCTGAAAATAAGAATTGTTGGGACTTTGTTACCTTAGAATGAGCTGTTTTTATCTACAGATGCTGCGGGTCACCTTCCTGTCCGCCATGTTTAACAGCCATGTTTCTACAGTAGCCCAGAACGGACAAATCAAACGCTGTCTCCAGATAGGACCATTCACGCTGTCACTATAGTTTCTCCTTCACGCTTGGGAGGGAAGGGTGAAGTAAGGGAGTTGCAGTCTGAACCAGTAGATGCCAGTAAATCCTACTTACTGTACCTTTAATTAACTTCATTTTAAATATAAATGGAAGCTTTTTTTTGATTAGTGACTCATTAGTGGCTCTGGATGAGAAGATATTTTATGTAAAAAGTGTCTCTGTCTTCAACCTCCGCTTGCTAAATATTACAACCATAATCCTGCTTTCTCAGTATTTTATTTATTTTTGCTACTGTATAAGCTATGACGTTCAATGCTTTATCACTGAAGCATCTTGTGTCATTTACTAACATGAACCAATGTCCTCGTTCCTCTCTCGACTTCAATTGGTGTTGCTTTTTGTCCATTCACCAAATGCAGGCTAAAAAAAAGTCAGAAATGAATCTTGTAATTGGCGACAAACAACCTTATTAACCCTTTGCAGATATATTATACTGTTTTTTAGTCTTGGACCATAAAGATTTTTACTCACTGGCCTTTTTATATGGTGGTTGTCTTATTTTGGGACCGTATACGTTTGTGTCACTTTCAGTCAGCGACCAAGTGATGCTTTATAAAAAGACTCTTTGCACTGCGATGCTTCCGTCCTTTTGTGCTCTGCCGAGCTTACTGTGGCCAGTGAAGTGCACTGGTATCGTGTTGACAAGCGTTCGGCCGCTTGCTGTGAGCATGCTGTCCAAGCACACCTTATCACAGGAGCATTGACCTTTTACTACAAGTACCTGCCTCAGTCTCTGTCTCCGCCTTTTTCGTGTCACTGCCTGTCTCTGCCTCCCTGCCTTTTTCCTCCATCTGCTCCTCTGTCAGCCTATCGCTCCTCTTTTTTGCATTTCCATTTGTCTTCCCGCTGCTATTATCAGCTGTCTGCTTGTTTTTACTTGAGTTTTCTTTGTCAACATGACAGCCATGCTACTATTCCCTCCTATTTACGGTATGAAACTGATTTCCTGTCTGTTAACCTTTGTTCCTACCGTCACACTCTTCCATGTCTTGACTTGTCTGAGCTCGATTTGTTGATTGTTGCATTTTTTCTACTACAGCATATACATCTGCTCTGTAAATGACACGTTCTGTGTTCTCCTTTTAAGAAAAATCTGAAACCAAAAGGGAGAAATTTGTATCTTGTACTTTTTGATCCTATCTTCGTTCATTGAATAGCATTAGTTCTCCATCATACTTCTATCTATCTCTCTCTTTCCTAAATACATAACTTGTGTCCATATAGCCAATCAAATTGCTTCCTTAAAGCAATATTTGCATAAAGCAGTAATGTAAGTGTTTTGTCCTGAGTTTGGCATTATGTTCGTCGCCATGACAGTTTGTAGGAGCCAGTGGATGTGACGTACTGAGAGTTAAGCTGCTCTCTTTGGCTGCTCTTGGATTCAACTTGTGCGTAGCTAAACTTCAAGTCTTCAGACCCAATCAACGCTGACTCAAGTGACATCACTTTAGGTTGTTTTTTCAGATCTCAAGCAACAAAAGACTTTATACAACTTTTTCACATATGCAGTAATACTTCCCAGGACCTGCAAACATTAATGTGTAAAATCCCCCTGTGCACTGCCCTAAAAGACCAAATAAGGGCTTGAAGGATTGCACTAGATTACCTGTCTGTCTTTCTACCACACTGGTCACATTTTTTCTCATAACTGCTCATCCCATAGAGCGCTTTAATTAAAAGGGCACAAGGAAAGTCAATTTATACACCGTGAGCCACTTAAATCAAGACGTAAAATTCAGCCCGACCGAACCTTGACCTGGACAGTGTGATCAGGATAGGGCATAAAGGTCACGTCTATGCTGCCTGCCTGCTAGGCTGCCTGCCCGCCCAAACCGGGGCGTTGCCAAGGCAACTGCAAGTCGCAGTAGCAACGTCAGGATCAGCTGACACTGATGTGAGATGACAAGACCACCC